GACAAGGTTACACAGTTAATACCGGGCTCTGTCGAAAGCCGTGTTTCCATGTCGCTGTAGCTGAAGTGGAATAAATGACCTTGGTTCATTCATTTCGGTGCTCTTCTACATCAGCCAGGATACCTACGAAGGCAAACGCTGTCCCCTTAGTCGCACCGTAATCTTTTGAAAATTGAAAACAAAAACATTTCATTAAGATTCAAAGTGCTACATGCACGCTATAAAGCAATGTGTGCAGTTAATTCAAAGGCATAAAAAAGCTAATGGACTATTATAGTCTACTGCCTGAGGCTGTCTTTTCTCCTCGCAGAAGAAGTACATCAATCACTTCTATCAGTAATCCCCTGCAAGCTGCCAGCGCTGTCTGTGCTTCCCGCTAGAGAAGCTGTCTCTTCCGTAGAAGCGGCATCAGATGTGGCTGAAGTTGACACATTAACAGATAAACTGCCCCCACTCTCCTACCACTATCACTACATTCTGCCCTCGGTCTTCGGAGATATTGATGGGAGGGAGCAGTCGATGAGACAAAAGCAGTGACAGAGGAGGCGCTCGAGGGGTCGAGCTAAGCTGCTGCGTGTTTGTTCTTCCTGGCTTGTCCTCTTACCTGGAGGATAAATGATAAGATGGGTCACAGATGAAAGCGCCTTCAGGATTGCGCTTTGCTGTAGGCGTCTACAAGCTCGTAGTTATATACACAGTGACTGTTAAAGTTTTCAAGTAAGTCTGTTTGTTTGTCGGTGACGGCTCAGGGCGGCTTAAAGTGACATCAGATGTTTGCTGAAGAGGAGATTTAATGCACTCAGCCGCGTAACACATACAGTTTTTTGAATGTCTTTGTCAATACGGGACTCTGCTACAAAGGAAATGAAAGAAAGGAGGGAAAAAGTGGTTGCATCCCTTTGTTACACTCCACTAAGCTGGTTTACTGCATTTGTTGTTGGAAGGCTGGTGGTCGTCTCTGGGGCTTTGAATGAAAACACATTTCTCCTCTGGCTACAGCTGCTGCATATCCATGTGCAAACAGCCAGCAGATGTGTCTTGATCCAGCTCCTCCATCCCAGCACCAGTTTCCTTCCAACTTCACATTTACCTGATCATCTCCTGTCCCGGTTGTAGAGCAAATGATCTCTCCTGAGCAATCACCATTGTTTTGTTCCAGACCAATAAGATAATTCATGTTGACTCTGTGCATATGGAACACTTTTGGCCATGAAGCACTTGCAGAGCTGCTTTGGACTTGATAAACACTACAGCTGCTAAATAATTTGTTGCAAACAGATCTTGTTTACCAGCACGTGTTTATGAATGAATATGTATTTGCGTGCTTTGCATGCACACTTGAGGAGGATAGCTGATTCCTGCATAACTACATTTGAATGTGTGATGAAACTTTAAGAGGCTACAGCTTGTTCGGGCTGTTAATTTGTGAAGAAACAGTGTTTGTGGAATTTAGCCAATTCCAGTTTTAGTGTAGGAACTCACCTTAAGCATCGTTAAGCATGCAGATTGATGGTGTACTTTGTGGATAATAAAGCAAAAGTGTGCTGAAGGCAGATATTCAGTGTAAGAATATCTGAGAATATCGAGGGAGCCGCAGCCAGACTTATAGAACCCCTTCCCATCTGTCAGATAGGACTACAGATCCACACAAATAACATAGGCAGTGTGTCTAGCTGGATAGACATCAGTCAAGGGGACACAAGAAGGATGGCAGCGTCCCTCATGGAGTTAAAGCTACTTAATAGTCTTGTGTTTATTGGGGATTCATTGTTCCATCTGTCTCACATAAAAACCAGTGAACAAAATAGAAAAACAACACAACCTTCCCTCCCGTTTTTTCCCTGATAGATTTCTTGTTTCTGTTTGGCTGTGAATATGACTCGTTAAACGGTGAGGCTTGGAGGAGAAGGAGGAGGAGCCTGGACTGGACAGTCTGAACAAGGGGGAGAGCTGGAAAATTTAATCATTTTTCTTTGGGTCTGTCATACGCTATGGGCTGCCTCATTTGTCTGCTCCAACTCCTTTGTTTCCAGCAGACTCTCTGTTCAAGGATTAGGCTACAGAGCAAGAGACATGCAGCAAAAGAGGAAAGAACGAGCTATATACGCTAATTACAACAGTACTCCATGTTTCTTTAATACAGTACTTATGTGTAAGGTATTTGCTGCAGTACTTAAGAACTGCTGAATGGCCAAGAATGAAAGCAAGAAAGATTTAAGTGGGGGCACTTGCTAGATTCAATGTGAATAAGAGGTATGTTTTGTGGGTGGAATACCTGAAGACCTAAGAGTGGGTGCCTTGGAACTTTTATTGTCATTGGGTGGAAATATTTAACCTTAAAATGTGTTTTGGCATACAAACCTTTGTTTGGGAGTCAGTTAAGGGCATTAGGTCGTGCATTTCAATTGTAATTGCAGGTAGGAGTGAAGCCGGGATGAGAGAGGCTGCACGACTGCTTTTTTTCTACCTTCACGTTGCCCACAGTTGAACAACAGATCTGTTGACCGAGTTTATCTCCTGCTGAGGTGATTAATGTAAGTTTGCTGCAAACAAAGGTCACATCAGGAGGCAGGGGAGCAGACCAGACCACAAGAGCTAAGAGAGTTATATATGGCTACAGTTACTGCTGAGAAAAGAAGCTGTTTATTTTTTGTAGGGCATCCCTCAGTCTCTGGGGATTTACGTGGAGAATTAAAAGGAATAACACAGACGCATCCAGGAACGAACTAAGTAGAACAGCAGAGCAGCACTGCTGTGGCATAACAGTTATAATATTCATTGTCCTACGCTGTTTATCCCCCTATAAATATTTTTATATTTACTGCCAGTACATAATGGTGTTAGTTACGGGGATGGCAAACAGATGAAATTATAGCAGTGCTGTGCAGATGAAGATTTATTTACTTGTCTTCTATGGCACTTGTGGGGTAGCCTTTTAATGCTACCAGGAAAAAAGCAAGTCCACATGATGCTGTAGGGTCTTTCTTCATAAAATCTCTCCATTTCTTGTGTAGTGTAGTCACAAATTACTAAAAGTGCTCCTTGAAGGAGAAGAAGTGTTACTACTCCTCAGATGGTGTCCTAGGATGTCGGTGATGTGCGTATGTGTGAATTGCCCAATTTGGGAGTTGCCAAATGGAGATATTTCTTTCTTCTTCTTCTTCTTCTTCTTTCTTTAGTCTTTTCTGCTCATTTGTGCACATGATGGAGCGGTTACTGAGTGTGGAGTCCCCTTAAGGGATTTTTCCTTAGGGTATCTCAAGATATTAGATATATGTCTTCATTATCTGGATAGTTTCAGCTGTTCGAAACTTTAAAGATGATTACGCAGCACTTCGACTGTCTTTTTTTTTTTTCTTTAAATCTCAGGTTCCAACTCTTTGTGAAATATGATATAAGGTGAATACTTTTTGGTGTAGTCAGCTTTTGAGTCGTGGGACTTTGTTCTGGCTTTTTCTATCAGCCAATAAGTCAATTACAAATAAGTGATGATAACAATAAAATAAAAGACAAATATTTGCTTGCCTCTATAATCCAATCCAACTAGTTGCGTATAGCTCAAATGGGATTTATGAGGACTTGGAAACATCCATGCTTTACACACAGTTGAGTCATTTCATTCAAACGCAGGAGTAAAGAATTGGTGGTGGGATTTTTGGGTTTATAAATATAAACCTCCTCTGTCGGACTTCCCAGGTGCGTTCTTTGTCTCTAATGTTCGTTTAGAGGCAGTACATGCACACAGTCAGTTGCTGTAAAACTACCAGCTGCTTATGAATTTAGGTCATTTTGTTACAGTCAGAAGGTGTGTGTGTGTGTGTGTGTGTGTGTGTGTGTGTGTGTTATTTCTGCCACGACTTTGTATTTTAAAGAGTTTGTAATTCAGGCCCAGAAACACTGCCACTTTTGAGTTTCCCAGGCTCGCTGTATCTTTCCACAGCTGACACTTGTGAATATAAATGCCTTCTTTTACTTTATAGTTGTCATTTTAACTAATTTAAGTTTGCAGTGTGAGCAAAATACTCCCTTCCAAAGCCACATTTAAATGCAACAGTAACTGTAATTATCCTGCGTCTACCTTATTTTCCCTCTTACTTTTCTGCCGTTATCTAAATTATAATCTCTGGCTTGAGCATTTATACCAAAGCACATTCTCTGGGGTATTCCACAGCCAGAGTTTCTCCTGCAAAGAAATTACTGGTGCTAAATGAAGCAATGATTTTCTTTATACATTCCAGCTGTAGTGCAAATGGTTTTCAGTCTGCCAGAAAATCCAGTTCTTTTTCGGGAGATGAGGTTGAAGATGGAATGAGTGGACAGAGGCCGTTTGGGTTTTGATCTAACAGCCTAATTATGTTGCATCACACTGATTGTGTGCATGCTCTCCACTGTTATATTCATTAAGATGCCTTTTTGATCATATATTGAGAAGACATCGTCTCCACCTTTAATGAGTCAGTACACTGGGTAGAGAAGTTTAGAAGAATGCATTAAGATTGAGGTTTTTTTTTAACATGTGGTGCATTTTTACTGCTAAACAGTACTCCGTTGGTGTAGGTGAAGGGCACTGCTTAGAGTAGAGCATGCAGGGAGCATGATACACAAAGAGCAATGCCTTTGGTGTACAGGCAGTGATCTTTTCTACTCTCTCATGTGCTCAAATGAACATTGCTAAGTTGTATTGGCAGAGTACATTTTGTTTCATTCAAATGATACAGATATTAGAAAAGTGCAGAAGCTGCTGTGCATGTATGAAAACAGCTTTAGTTTGTCATCGTCTCTGCTTTAACGTGCTCTGCAAAAATTCAGATAAGCCTGGCATAGGCTTTGAGCTTATGTCACTTTTCCCAGGTTTTTAGTCTCAGTATTCACATGCGAAATTCAGGACTATAGAACCACTTAAATGATACCTGCGCTTATAGTATCTTTACACATTTTTATGCCAAAAAGTTGTCAAAATAAGCACACAAAAGAATGCAATTTTTCACTGTTATTCTCAGGTGAATGGAAAAGAGTTGTCCAAGTCCAGCCATGAAGAGACTGTGGAAGCCTTTCGCCCTGCCAAGGACCCCGTCGTGGTGCAGGTCATCCGGCGGACCCCCAGCGGGCGCCCCCATGGCCCCCCTCAGGAAATCCATGTGGTGGATGTGTGTACTCAGACTGACATCACCTTTGAACACATCATGGCGTTGGCAAAACTCCGGCCTTCAACCCCTCCTGTGCCTGACGTCTGTCCCTTCCTGCTCTCTGACAGGTATGCAGAAAATATAAAGCTTAAAAAGATCGGGAGCCCTGCTTTCACAGACTATGAGCATAGCAACAAGTGATTTTATATTATTTCTTGATTTTTTCTTTTTAAATTTAGATTTATGCCGCTATGAAGTTTTAGGTTTGCTGCAGCAGATAGCGATACAGAGTTTGTTGTTGTGTCCTTGTCTGACTTTGGCTGAGGCTGACAATAATTAAGGATGGGGGAAAATGAGCAATGTCATTGAGCCATGAAGCAGAAATATCAGCGTTTGTAGGATTAGCATTACAAGTCTGGAGGACGACTGTTTATTATAAATAAATTGCCTAACCAGACGCGCAGTTTATTCTGACAAATAGAGATTTGTTTGAATGGGCGTCTTAGAACCATTCATTTCCTGCTTCACAAATACGAGGAAATGGGGAAAAAAAGAAACAAAAGACAAATTATGGACAGTTTCAAGTGGTTCTGATTAGCCAAGCGTGCTACATGTATCACTAGGCAGATAAAGTCCAAGACCACAAATAAATGTTGTTATAGATACAACGTCCTCTAGACTTTGAGGATCTGAACTACCAGTGTACTACTTACAAATTTACAAGGGGGATAGTTGTAGCTGGGTGGCAGGTGAAAAACTGCAATAATAAGTCAACAGAGATTATTTTTTCAGTAGTCAGACTAAATCTATTTTGAGTTAAATTTCTCTATATTTAGAGAAAATATAACTAATGTATAACTATGTATAATTTGTGGATGTGAGTCTGATCGTATCTCAACAGCTCAAGCGTTTGCTGGGTTGTACATCACTTCAAAGCCAAGTTGGGGTTTTTTTCCCCCTTTTTTTATTGTTTGTGAGAGCAATCCATTAAAAGATCTCCAGAGTTTGAAGCATCAACAAGAGGTTTTGCTGGAAAACAACAAAGGAAACATGGCTCCTTATTTCATCTTTTGGCATTTTAGTTTATGTGTTATGTGTTGTGTTTATCTCAGAGGAGAAGTAAAGTGTGCACAAGAAAAGTTTAGCATAAAAGAATATCTAGGTTTCACCTCGAGGGAATGAGCGAGAGCAACACTGCAGCTTTATTGCACAGAGCCGAGAAATTAAGACTGCCCCATTGTTTGGTACAGTAGACGATTAATTCCAAAGACACTACACATTTTGAGTTGTATATTTCTTGTCATTGGAAGCTTGCGTAAGTATTCAGTCAGTTAAAGCAACTGTGTGTCAATATTGGAGATGTTATTTAAAAAAAAAAAACTGTCTGGGTAAGTATCTTGCATGCACGAGATATATATATATATATATACTCAGTGTCACCATAGAAATCCTCACAGGAACTTCTGGCCTTAATTGGAGCTGCTTGGGGTATTATTTTGCCTCATGGAAGGTTTACAAGGTGATTAAAGCAAATGGGCTAATAAAAAAAGCTAGGCAACACAAAGGAATGTATGCCCGATCCTCACAGCCCCAGGCCAAGTCTGAATGTAATCAATGTGACCCATAAAACTCACATTTTCTTCTCTTCATCTGAGATCAGGTGCACAATCCAATATACGGCAGGTTTTATAGCTATAACAAAGGTTTTGGCATCTTATATTTGGGGCTAGATTGTAAATTTGTAATTGTGTTCTTTGCTCCCACTGCCAAATGTTGTTACATGAATAATATTGAGCCATCAAGCATTCTGACATTTACCAGTCTGTTTTTGGGGGTTTTTTTATCACTGGAAGGTTGTTTTGAGACAGTTTTACAGTCCTGGGTAATCTGGGAGTCAGACAGCCCCTGGAAACATCACTCAACGTGTTCGACAGAGTGTCTTTTTGAGGTTTTTGTCCACCGTGATTATCCTGTGTGGCACCAAAGCTTGCTCATCGCGTTAGGCCCTAACAATGCTGTTTTGTTCTGTGACTGAGGGAGGCATAATAGAATTACACTTTACAGTGTGGGGGGTTTTGTCTGTCAAGAGCAGGAAGCAAATTACAGTATGTGGATATGCTGTTATTAACACTCCAGCACCAATGAAAGCTCTTGACAAATCCTTTCTTCTTCAGATTTCAGCTAAGACAAAAGCAACTAAGTCCTGTCACTGTCAAACTGAGGAAAAGCATCTTGCTTACACCAAAATCTCCACCTCTTTCTGTTTCCCTGGCTCCCTGTCCATCCCTTTTGACAGCTGTCATTCCCTTCATACAATGGACCAGGATTACTACGAAGGGACTGACTACCTCTCCCCTGTACCCGCTGATGGAGACAGGACAGAGGAGTTTGAGTATGAGGTAAGACTGATACTTGATATCGGTGGCAACTGGAATGGTCAATATTAGCTATAAGAGATTATTATCAAAAGTGTATGCATGCGAGTAGGATCCCTGCACAGGTGTAAATGGCCTGTATTTGTATAGCGCTTTACTAGTCCCTAAGGACCCCAAAGCGCTTTACATATCCAGTCATCCACCCATTCACACACTGGTGATGGCAAGCTACATTGTAGCCACAGCCACCCTGGGGCGCACTGACAGAGGCGAGGCTGCCGGACACTGGCGCCACCGGGCCCTCTGACCACCACCAGTAGGCAACGGGTGAAGTGTCTTGCCCAAGGACACAACGACCGAGACTGTCCAAGCCGGGGCTCGAACCGGCAACCTTCCGATTACAAGGCGAACTCCCAACTCTTGAGCCACGATCACCCGTGTGAAGTGTACATCTACATTCCTGCAAACACATTTCTCCTGTGCTCATCTATTAAGGACAAATCCCAGGAGCACTGTAGTGCGAGATAATCAGTTGCATCACAGTCCTCGCTTCTGTTGAAAATGACCAAAGCTTTTGCCCTCAAAAGGCGACAAGATAAAGTAGAAAACTTCCAAGTGCACCCGTTCTTGCTCGAGATTTGTAAGTTGTTTTCATGTGTCCGGAAGAGAAACCGAGGGAGCTGTTTGACTGAGTATGATCAAACCCAATTAAAGTGAGGTGTGTGTGGCAGCTGCTAGCAAGAAAAAAAAAAAAATCTTTGCTTATGCGTCTTTCCCAAAGTGTAAGTAAGGGAAACAGTAGGATAGGTGATGCTTTGGAGGCTAATGATCTCTAGCACATTAGAGAATCACTGATTCAGGGACAGGAAGTGATAAACAGACTGTGTCTGTTAACCGCTTTGGTCCAATATTCTTTATTTCCGAGTCATTGAGGTGTGAGCACAAAGTCAGCGAGGGCTCCTCTGGTCTGATGTATGATGATTGCTCACCCCTCCCTCCTCCTATTTGTTTCATTGAATTTGTTCTGAATGTTTTCACCCACTGAGGTTGAGCTGTTTCTTCACATCCTAAAGAGATTTGTGCACCCATTTGAATCGCAGAGGCTTGAGTGTCAAATCGGAACAAATATAATGTATTAAAGCATCTTTTTACGCCTCATTGCTATTAGCAAATCCTATTATACTCTGTGTGCTTTGCAGCCTTTCCACTTTATTTTTTTATTTTTTTAAATGCTTGCAGGGTTTTATACTACCCTGATGTTGTTCCACTTACTGTATGTCGACTGATAGTTTACCCACTTTGTAAGGGACACCGTGCTGGTACCAGGTTGGACTCTCTTTAGTTTCAGAACAGCCTTAATTCTGTCTGGTGCAAATTTATTATGGTGCTGAAAACACTCCTCAGAGACTTTGGTCCATATTGACACGATAAAATCACACAGTGACACATCCACAGTGCTAATAATATTTTACCAGGTGTTCTGTTGGATAATTGCATTTGAGTACGATGAACTTGGTGTCATGTTCAAGAAACCAGATTGAGGTTATTTGAGTTTTGTGACATGGTGTGTCATCCTGCTAGAAGCAGCCATCAGAAGACGGTTACACTGTCATAAAGTGATAAACATGGTGAGCAATTATACTCAGGTAAGCTGAGGTGTTTGCATGATGCTCAACTGCTACTAAGAGGCCAAATGTGTGCCAAGAAAATATCTTGATACCAATGCACCAACACCAGCATCTCCGGAGGATGGATCCATGCTCTCATGTCGTTTACACACAGTTCTGAGCTCATCATCCAAATTTTGCAGCAGAAATTGAAACTCGTCAGCCCAGGCAACATTTTTCAATTATCAGTTTCTGAAATACTCAAACCAGTCTATCAGGCACCAACAACCATTCCACATTCAAAGTCACTTAAATCACCTTTCTTCCACACTCTGATGCTCTATTTGAACTTCAGCAGGTCTACGTGCTTAAATGCACCGAGTTGCTGCCATGTGATTTAATGAGATATTGGCATTAACAATCAGTTGCGCATGTGTACCTAACAAAGCAAGAGAGCAGATCAGTAATTTAATCCAGGTCTGGGGACATATGGACAGGACACAGGAAACCTTCCATTATATGGTTCATGTTAAGTTATAAAAACATGAGTGCTGAATTCTCTGACCTCACAAAATAACCTGACATCATTACACATTACAGGTTATCGCCGGTCATGTAATGGCATATAATTGTGTATTTAGAGGCATCCTTCATCTGATTGCGGTCTGTTGGTGTTGTATAAACACACACACTCGTATGAATATGTTGCAAAATTAAAAAAAAAAAAAATGTCCTTGTCATCCACCCTAGTTGTCTTAAACGCCTCAACTTGCATTGACCCGAAGGTATCGAGTGAAACATTTAACAAACACCTGCAACTTTCCGTGCTCACAAGTGCTCACCCCTTGTCGGGCTGAACGATGGCTGTAAAAGTATTAAAATCTTAATGCTGCCTTTTTTAAATCACTTCTCAGCTAGACACACACATGCAGAGCAAAATTTTACAGCTGCAGACTAATACGGAGACTCCAGTCATCGAGCATTACGCATCAATGCGATCGTGGCTCAGAAGTTGGGTGTTCGTCTTGGAAGGTTGCCGGTTCGAGCCCCGGCTCCGACAGTCTCAGTCGTTGTGTCCTTGGGCAAGACACTTCACCCGTTGCCTACTGGTGGTAGTCAGAGGGCCCGGTGGCGCCAGTGTCCGGCAGCCTCGCCTCTGTCAGTGCGCCCCAGGGCAGCTGTGGCTACAATGTAGCTTGCCATCACCAGTGTGTGAATGTGTCGATGACTGAATGTAGTGTAACGCGCTATACAAATACAGGCCGTTTGCCATTGCTAAAAGTTTCCTTTCATGTACGGTTGTAAAATAAGGCTCTAACATCACAAACCGGTTGGTGCCATCATGGTGGCTACAACCATCTTGTATTGAGATTCTATGTCAAAAAATGTGCACTAAGACATACGTTTCCTAGAATTCCTGCATGCCTGTGGGGGCAAAACTATATTAGTAACCATTCCTGTGATTACCTCAGGTGAGTTCTGCAGACATGAAGTACTCCAAGCACAGAGATAGTCCTCCCAATTTCCCTGCCAGCGGTAGCCATCCGCACATTTCTGGCTGCTTTTTCAATTACTGGTAATCAAAAGTGCGATTATTATGACAGCATCCAATGTGCTTTGATGGTTGGTGGCAATCTTCTCCTTAATCACGCCATCGCAGTCATTAATTTACTGTCAGCCCTCGTCCCCGTGCTGCAATCTCCTTCCTGAGAGGCAGAGAGCTCGCCTGGAAAATAGAGGAAAAAAAAAACAAATGAAAAGAGAAGAGAGAGGCAGTGATTGCCGAATGCATTTGATGGTTCAGGAGTCAACCTCCTTTTGCAGAAGCTTCAGAGTGAGTGGGTGTTTTTTTTCCAAACAATATATTCTTAAAACAAATAGGCAAAAAAGAACATCTGATAAATAAAATGGGGTCACATCATTAGACACGCACAGATTTGATGCCTCATCCACCATGTAGTAATGGTGCCAATCTATTTTCTCTGATCATTTAGCCGCAGGTTTGCAGCACTATATCTAGCTATTAATTAGTCAGAAGTAAGTTTAAGCTTGTTTTACGGAGCCAGATAGGGGTGATGCATTACCTGCTCACGCTGCTGCTTCGCCTCAGTCGCGGCAATTAATTTGTGTGGTTTATTTTTAGGCAGATGTCTCAGAGACGCTGCTAGTGATTTCCCACAGATATCCCACAATTTCACACATCATATTAGCATGCCAGATATGCACTGTCTCCTTGGCTCCCCATTACCTCCATGACTGCTCCACTGCCTCTGGAGCCGTGCTTCTTTAATAGTATCTCCTCCAACAATAGCACGATATCTCATTAGAAACATTTTTAATTTAACTAATGATTGATTTTTGCAGTTTATTTTGTTCAGGTAATCTACAGGTAAAGTTTCTTGCTTTTGTGTTGTTTACTAACGCATCAGCCGGGATTTTGCGCCGCCGCAGCTTCTGAGGCACTCAATTAAAGATCTAAACTCCCACTCAGATGGAGATGCTGGAAAAAAAAAATCACAAAGCTCAGATGATGCAGATCTCCTTAAGCTCTTTGTCTCTGCATGTGCGAATGTGTGCTCTGTTGAGAATATGTGTAGGTGTAAGCATAAGATGTGCGCAGAGAACTCTGTGTGTGTGTGTGTGTGTGTGTGTGTGTGTGTGTGTGTGTGTGTGTGTGTGTGTGTGTGTGTGTGTGTGTCTACGGGATTGTGTACCCCAGCAGCAGCAGGTTGCTGGTCCAAAAACACGTCAATGATCTGTCACCGTGTGTGTGACAAGCTGAGATACGGGCGTGTGGGAAGAAATGAGTGGCAGTGGGGCAGGAAAAAATGGGAATTTAGCCTAAAGGTCTGTTTGTGTGTATGTGAGGAAGTGTGTGTGTGTGGTCTCAAAAACAGCTTAGTAGGGGTAGCCAGAAGCAGCAGCCATTGGCCTTTCCCCCCCTTTTTTCCCTCATCTCATGCCAACATCCGGCCACCCCCCCCCCCCCCCTCCCCAAACCACGCATCCACTATCTGGGAAATGTCGCCACATCTGACACGTGTAACCAGCCAACCTGCTCCTTGTCAAAGAGGAAATGACTCTCACGGTTTCTGTCTGAGACCCCTCTGAGCCCCACCAGAATCCTCACCGCCACCTTATTTCTCTCGGCCCCCACCATCCTCCCCTTCACTCAACCACCTCGTTCCTGCTGCTGAGAGTGTTTTGCTGCTCTAATGAAGACCTTGGGAGGAGAGGCCATTTCACACTTGATTCCCTCCAACACCCTTGATATGTTTGAGCATTTGAAGATGGAGTGTAGGCCTGTGCTGCGCCGTGTTTGGCTGCACAGTGGCTAAAAGAAACAGAGTGCAAAGTGGTTTTAAGAGTTTAGAAACTGAAGAAAATAAAAGAAGCTCCACCAAAACGAGGAGCTAAAACGAGGAGGGGAACTTGTGCGATTTTTACTTTTTTTCCACTAGTGTTTATTAAAGACGAATAATTCATGTATTCACCAGGGTACCACGCTATAATCCAAAAGCCTCCTGGGAAATTTGCAGACCACTGATTTGTTAGTCAATAGTTTGTTTATCTCTCCCCACAGGACACGGAGGAGTAGTTTAGAACTGTAGCAAGTGTGTATTTCTGATGGCATTAGCATATAGTTTATTTATAGTCTAATATTTTATAACTTAGCAGAGACTTGAAAGAGAAAAACTCAGTCCTCTGACATTTATCAAAGCCTCTCCGATCAAACTCACAGAGCCAAGAATGTCTTTCATGATCAAACACTAAAAAACCTCAGAAAAGTTGGAAATCCAGACTCAAAAATCATATAGTTTTATTTTGCGCTGAACTTAAAGGACCTCATCAGTGGAACAGCCTCTTTGTGTTTGTGTAGCCATTGCCAAGCTCGTGCTTTTACGTTAAGTGTTTAGAATTTACATCATTCAGTTTGTGTTTCTTCCTTTAAAGGTTAGAGGTTAGAGGAGTCTGTCTCTTGGACCCTCCAAACCTTGTAGTAAAATCACTCCATCTTCTTGATCTTTTTTTCCGTTCTTTTCCACTTAGGAAGTAGAACTGTGTCGACTCAACAGCCAAGAGAAGTTGGGCCTAACTCTGTGCTACAGGACAGATGAAGAAGAAGATGTGGCCATCTATGTTAGCGAGGTGAGTAGATAACTTGCCCCGCACTTAAATAAAATAAAGACGTTCATACGAGACATCTGCAAACAATTACCTTGAGTGTGAGTACTGTGAATACATAATTTCATACATTAGTCACGAAGCTCAAAGGTTTTGTGACACTGGCATGTACACAATCACACAAAACCCTGAATCAGTACCTGCTCATTTCTGGGCATCAACTACTGCCCTTTTGTTTCACAGATACCCACTAGCTGTCCTTTGGCATGTGTGTCATATACATGTAACCATTTTATAGACTGTAGTAGGAAGGGTCTCGCTTCCACTCGTCATTTTAAGTACCCTCTGGGATCAAATTTAAATGTGCTGTCAAAGTGTCATTTTTCAGTCATTTTTAAACAAAGGCAGTTTCCTCACCCCAATCGTGAAGTTTTCGATGTCTCAAGCTAAGCAGCAGGGGAAGGGAAAACGGAGCTCAGGACACAAAGCTCTAAAACAAGTCACGAACTGCAGTCTCCTGCCTGATAGACCTGCCATGTATTCCACAGCCACCCCTCTAACCTGCGTGCTCTATCAGTCTTTCAAACCGGCCTGCTAACCCTCTGTGTCCAAAACGGTTACAGGTGGTGTGTCGAGGCACCAACGCTAGCAAAATCAGACAGAATATGAGATGCAGCAATCCAAATTTGTCCTGTTTCAACACAATCATAACTTAGTGTTTAACTTAACAATCTGCATTCCTCAGTGTGACGAAGAGACTGGAGATCTTTCTTTTATGTGGTGACATCTGTAAACACAAACATAAAAAATTATCATTTCGAGCTGATGACACAGGTGACGATGACATTAACCAAGGTGACGACAGCTCGTTTGGATGCCGTGAGTGCGATAAAGGCTGCACAAATCTAGACTGAGAGAGAGAAGCTGACAGGGAACAGCATTGTAGTCATTGGACCTTTTCAGTCATGCCAAGTAAAAACTCTACTGGCCCTTGTGTTGTGTTAGTTCATGTAGTCAAGACAATACAACACAGCAGACGGATGAGAGTAAGGATCCAAAATCTGTAATGAATGAGACACTATGTATCCTGTATCTTCTTCCTGACAGCCATTTTTAATCCAGCAACCAGATTTAGGGCTGCTAACCATTTGAAAGATGATATTTCTAGCATACTCCAGTATATACATATTCTAACACTTAAATATTAAGTATCTTCCTACATCACTACTTTGATGAAATGTCTAATGAAAAATCTCACACAAAATTTAATATTCATCTTCAATGTAAGAAACAAAAATTTCTTTATTTGGTGAAGTTTTAAAATTGAATTCTTTTTATCAAATCTGACATTACTGAACAGTTTAGCATTGATCTGTGTGTGTGTGATCATACTGTCAGTTCACCAGAAACAAAATGAATGCCAAGACAGCAAACGACAACAAAAAAGAGGAAGAAGAAAAAAACACAGAAGTGCTTTCAGGTCTTGTCTTTGTTGTTCATCCAGTCTCAGTGCAGCTGACAACAAGCAGGCACTGGCATACATGTAAAGAGAGAGACTATTTTTCTCCCACTTGTTGGAAGCATAGAAAATGCCATTCTCCGCTCTCCTCAACTTTCAAATTCGTTTGAAGTCGACTTGGACCACGCAAGGTGTTCTCTTTGAGAGCTGAGTAGAATATAAATCACTGTGGTCGCTGGCTCCTGGCAGCATCTTTAAGTGTTTACTCTATAAAAAGTAGGGCTAAGAGGAGTGCACTGCATTTACATGAGGTGTCTGAATGTCACTGTATGCTGGCTGCACTGGGAGTTGAGTGGGGGAAGAATACAAGGTTATTTTAAAACAAGTAGAATTTTCCAAATTTAGATTGTTGAATGGCCATTTTCCATTTTACTGTCTCATAGCACAGTGGGTGAATACATGTGGCTGATTCTCTAGACTTTTCAGTTCACCTGCTGTTTCTTTACTGCTCTGCCAGAGCCTCTTGCCCTTTTTCCTCTCACAGTTCAAAAACAGTTAAAAAAGGAAACAAACATACAAAAAAGAATAAAGCTAAGAGGCAAAGCTAAGAAACTCATTCCGTAAACAGCGGTTTTGCCACTAACAATGTCATCTTCAACACGTAAACGGTTTTGTAAGTTATTCACGATCTGAAGTTCTCTCCTTGACTGCTGAGAAATTACCTTCAATTTCCTCTTTTTCCTCCAGCCCTTCACTAATTCCTGCCTGGGGACTTCTGTCCCAGTCTAATGAGAGGCCCTCTGTGTAGGAGTGAACTATCATGAAGATGGAGTGCTTGAACACCTCCTTGTCTGCCGAGATCTTATCTGATAGGAAAAAGTGAAACGAATGGCCCCAGATGCCGATTGATTGGTCAATGAAAGAGTGCTCTGCCCTCTTGTTGACTAGCATTAGTTACATGAGGAGCAGGTGCACGATGTACTGGAGTTGAGTTACGGGCTGGAGATGCTATATGCAGAGACTTGTTTTTTATCAAGTTGTCAAAAAAATAATAACTGAGGCAGGTGCAATCGATGTCTTGGATGATAAAGGTGATGATTTAGCTTCTTCCTCAGGCTTTCAGGAAACAATAAAAGGAACACATCAAATGGTCGGGAATGGTCTGGACAGCTATCACACAATACTTCCAGCCACATCTAGACTCTCTCGAATGAAGATTGAAAGTGTTTCATGTATAATTTTGTGCCTTCTCCACCTTCACAGATAAGTCCAAACAGCATCGCTGCCAGAGATGGACGAATCCGGGAGGGGGATCGCATTTTACAGGTGCAGTAAAGCACTCGCTGGTCACCTCCACACTGGCTTTTATTAGGTTCAAAATAAAATTCTTCTTCTATTTTGTCACACTCAACCACTGTCTCCCAGCAAGAGAGCCCATTCATTTTTAATGGCAGCACATTAAAGGGGGAACTTGCACCCGCTGTGACTGTTAAAGAGGGAGAAATGTCCCCCTGGCTGTTTTAGTTACCGACTCAGCACCAGCAGGGTTTTTTAAGAGTTCTGGTTGGGAGTGACACTGTGCTGCTGCCTCCTGTGGGATAGCTGAGAGGCAGTAACTGCTATTAGCCCCTAGCTAGATATCCAGGCTTGAGATTTGGAATGGCTACTGACAAGGACCGACGTTTGTTAGAGCTCTGGGTTGGATCGTGTTGTTTCTGTGGGATAGGTAGGCGATTACAGTGTTTGTCACCATAATAGCTTCATAATAGCTTGTTAAGCCAGTGTTAATGGATTCATGGTTGCCATAAAACAAACTGAAAACATCTGAGATACCACCTCCAGAATTTTGGACTTGTATGTTTTACCAATAATCTGTTTCTGTATGGAAGCAATTTTGGGGCTGTCTTCCCTTTATTGTGATGGAACAGATGGAACCCAGGGCTCTGCATTAGCTTTATGGATTAGCTGCTCATCCCAGAGAGTTAAACCTGCACCCTTGTATAGAGACAATTTCATCTTTTTTTTCACTTGTCTGTCTTGAACACCAGGCAAAAAAAACATGCTTCCAATATACATATTTTGCTTCCAAGGAGCCATACTTTTTTAAAGTGGTCTTGAGCAATAGTTCTTTACACTTTCTCAAGATCTTTCAAAGTTTTTCTTTGGACATTGACTGCTTTTTCACTCATTTTCACCCCTGAAATTTCTCTCCTGACATCGCTGGGCATATTATAGCAGCATAAAACAGTAACTGTTGTATCCGCACATAGCAGACAACTTATCAAAGAACCTATTTTAATTTGGATTTTCATCTTTTTGTTCCAATTTCTTTGTTGAATGTATAACTAAATGCACAGTACACAGTAATATTTTTGCAGCTACATGGTCATTCTTACCTGTTAGCCAAAAACTTAGCATATCTCAGCATGGTGGCGTTTCCTTAAATACATTTAAAAATATGGGACAAAAGAAGAAATGAGAGAGCTAAAAATAATGATCTACAGCAGATAAACAGTTTCTGAAAGTCGTGTTCTTTAGAGAAAAATGAAAAAATTAATTAAAGACCCGACAAAGGACCTAAGAGATGTGCCGGTTGAGCCAACTACTGTTTGCTAAAGCCTCATCAGAAATGGTCTCAGTGGAAGGGTGGCTGTCAAGAAGCCATTGTTAAAGATGGGAAACAGGGAGAAAAGACTGAGGCTTTACCAAATTACAGAACAAGCAAACTGAAAATCAGTAGCAACCGGTCTTTTGGAATGATGCCAGTGATTCCAAACACGCTGCCAATGCAGTAAAACTATATCTGGACAGAAAAAACACACTGTTGTTCTAGTCGTGAATTTGCCTCTTCAGATCCCCCACCCCAGCATAATTGAGACACTGTGGGATCATCTTAACAAAGAATAAAACAAAAGGCAGTCAACATCCAAAGAAGAGCTTTAAAACTCCTTCAAGATGCCTGGAGAGCCGAAGACTTTATACAGAAATTATAAGAAAGCTTGTCTAAATGAGTGAAAGTTGTACAGACTCTGTTTCTTTTATATATATTTGACCATCTTGGGAAGGGAAAGAGAGAGACGGAAATAGTCTGCCTAGCCTATAATAGCTATGTGAAGTGGATCCATGAGTGCTACTGGTCTAATTGTCTCAACAGTACATGTTGTGTGGCTGATTTGAACAAAGGGAAGCGGTGTGCGTAGGTTTGTGAGGCAGACGGGTACTCTGGCACTATTATCCACTAGTGACAGGGCCATTACTCTGCCTGCAAAAAGATGGACGCCACCTGTCAGTGGCCAGTTAATTGTACGGCTAGATGTATGTATGCTGCTGGATGCTTTGGTGGACACAACACCTCCGTCAGCCCACGGCCGGTGTCTCATTCATAATCGCTGCTGGGTCCAGATTTATTACAGAGAGGGTTGACAATTTGCCCAGGAAAAGGGCACTACTGTCCAATGTGTTTCAGTGTGGCATTTTGTTTTTCTTAAGGGCATTTGCATTAGAGCGATGAACGTTAACCTGTGTGTTCGTGCCTGTGTTGAAATTTTTGCTTGTTTGTGTTTCACCTAATATGGTCTTAATCGTGTTTGTCGTCTTCAGATTAATGGCCAGGATGTACAGGACAGGGAGGAAGCCATGGCTGCACTCTCCAGTGACGAGTGCAGGAACATCATACTGCTGGTTGCCAGACCTGAGATGCAGGTGAGAAATAATCACACATTCAACTCACACTGACTTATTATGCACTGAAGTCAAATAGCAAAAACTAATTTCCTCGACTTGTCTTTGGAAAAGAAAAGAAACTAAGTTTGAAGTGACAAAGACTTACAAAAGAACAACCGTGGAGCTAAGATAACCCAGCTGCTTTTGAACTGTCTGGACATAATCTACAGTTTACATAACCTGTATGGTTTCAAATTCAGGCTTTTACTGTACTGTACTGTGTATTTGCTCAAAGAAGACCTCAGCAGTTTGGTGTAGCCACCAACGCCCTCCCACCACATGTAACCACTCCTACTGCAAGCCACGACTGAGACCTCATCATGTTTTATTTTTATGTAGCGCCACTGTAATTGACTTCCAACGGTAAGCCATAAAAGCTAATGGCATGCTAATGTGGAGTGAGTTCAGGCCCAGGGCCGATGACAAACTAAGTGGAAGGACTCTGCCGCAGTGCAGAGGAACTGGAAGCAATACTAGGCTCTTTAATTAAATGCATTTTAGTAGTAAATCTGAAGTCATCAGATATGAATACCATTTGGTTTGCATCAGATGTACAAACAGATGATGGATGATGTGGATGATACGGCCTAACAGGTTAAAAGTGGTGGCCATCAAGTTACGTGGTTCTGATTCTATGATTAGAGTCCATGTTTAAAAGATGAGGACTGTATATCTGTCAAATGTGTATCATGACGCTTGTTATTACCCAAAAAGGATAACAAAAATGTCACTAAGCCACTAGCCTAAACCCTTTCCTTCACCATATGCTTTCCTTCTTCCTTCACCTATAGCTGGAAGAAGCCTGGCTGGATGATGAACATAGCGAGTTCCTGGAGCAACTGAAGATGGAAATGTTGGAGGAGCAGCAAAGAGAGGAAATGGAATTAGCTGCCTTACAAGAGGAACAGGAGAATGAACAGGTCAGACAGCATCGAGACATATTGACCCTGCCAGTAATGAGCAAGTGAATGAAAAAGCTTATCTCCATGTAAGAAATTCTGAAGCTCTTTGTTTGCACTGTTCAGTATAACGAAGCTTCTAAAACTCAGCAAGGAGAAAAAAAGGACAGCTCATTGCGACAGATCATTATACACAGCCAATATTATCTTTGATGCCATTTCTATCACAAGACAAACTGTTCATCAACTTTCTTTGCAAAACCGAGTCAAAACAAGCTTCTCCCTGTGAAATGTGAGCGTTAAATTCCGATTATGAATATTTATGGAGGGGGACCGTTGAACCATTTAAATTCCAAACATTAGTAACCGTGATTTAAAATTCTGTTTTGCTGAGAGGATAGCATACCTCAAAAATCCATATAAATGGGACTTCAAAGACATGGCAGAGAGGAGACAATCCCTGAAGTAACAGAGCTGGTTAACAGAGTTATGCACAACAACATATGTATTCCTTCAGGGGAATGCAGAAGAGGGATGCACTTCTTGAACTCTTAAAAAGTTCTTGTGACTTTTTGTTGTTGTTTTTTTTTTTCCCTCGCTCCATGATTAAATCAGAGAATAAATTCAGAATAAGCATGTTTCTGTATTACCAAACAGAAAGTCTGTACATTTAGGTTTAATTACCTTGCTTTCAAAAAGAGCGTAGCTGTTGCACATTCATGTACAACGCATGTTTATGTTGTACACAGCTGCATAACCCATAGTTGTTATCTATCTAGAAGTAATTCACACTGATTCTCTTCAACTTATTTCAGAGAACAGAGGATGATAAGCCCACTTGTTCCACACTCCCTCATCATAAGGACAATGTACTGAGCATAAAGGACAGGATGGGGAACTCGCAGCATAATGTCATGGCACATATCCAGAAACGTCTGTCCCAGTGCCTGAAAGACAGTCGGGACACGCACTCTACCACCAGCTCCATGCGGCTAGACGACAAAACGGATGAGGATGACGATGAAGCAGAAGGTGATCGCTTCCAGCAGCTCTTGGAACTGAAATGTCAAATACGCAACAGCGGCGAGTACGACCTGTTCTACAGCCGCCGGAGCACTATTGAGTGCAGCATGGGGGAGCAGGCGGGGGTACAGCACGAGCTGCGTATGCTCAATGAGGAACTGCGCAGCATCGAGCTTGAATGTCAGAACATCATGCAGGCCCACAAACTTCGTAAGGGTCAGCAGTCTCCCTCAGTGGGCCATTCTACACCCTCCACCAAAATCCAAAGCTTTCACCGCGGTGAGCCCTCAAAGGGTAAGCTGGCCGACATTAACGAGAGGCTAGAGAAATCGGACAAGGACAGCTCTAGTGCCTACAACACAGCAGAGAGTTCACGCAGCACCCCTCTGGCAATGGACCGCTCCCCGGAGCACTCACTCCAGAGAATGGTTAGTCTTACAAACCAGAGGAACCTCTGCAGCGGCCTCGCTGCTGGTCATTCTCTTAGCCTGAGCCCCATCCCAGCGTGCCGCGCTCCAGTCCTGGGTAAGAGCAGCAGCCCTGACCACAGCAATCCTTCTGAGTCAGACCAAACACCTCAGGCTGAGGAAGAGAGCAGAGGGAAACTAAACCAAAGCGCTTCCCGAAATCCATACTTCTCACCTTCTCACAGTTCCCAGCAGAGGCAGACCAACATCCCAGCTCACGCCCGCCACTACCAGAGCTACATGCAGCTGATACAACAGCGCTCAGCTGTAGAGTACGCTCAGAGCCAGCTCAGTCTACTTAGCGTCTGTAAAGAGCCTCAGAGGCCCATTACAGAGCCCAAGATGGAGTGGAAGGTCAAGATCCGTAGTGACGGTACCCGCTACATCACCAAGAGGCCTGTGAGAGACAAGATCCTGAAGGAGCGAGCCCTAAAGATTAAAGAGGAACGCAGCGGGGGAATGACGACAGATGACGACGCAATGAGTGAAATGAAGATGGGGAGGTACTGGAGTAAAGAGGAAAGAAAGCAGCACCTCGTCAGAGCGAAAGAACAGCGGAAGAGGCGAGAGTTCATGCAGCGCAGTCGGCTGGAGAGCTTGAGGGAGAACCCTCAGAGCAGCAGTGAAGGTCGAAAGGAAGTCAGCATCATAGAGCTCAGCCACAAGAAGATGATGAAGAAACGCAACAAGAAGATCTTGGATAACTGGATGACAATCCAGGAGCTGATGACTCATGGTACCAAGGCCCCAGAGGGAGCTAAGGTACACAATGCCTTCCTTTCAGTCACTACTGTATAAAAAAACAAAAGAAACACACACATTCTACCCCATGTGGTACGACATACTTGCCTCGTTAAATGTGGCATTTTTACATGGACAATAGGAATATTTTTCACACTTTGTAACCCAAAAAAAACATTTTGTAAAGAATTTATCAGCGGCATCATGACATTTTGATGTTTTTCCAAGATTGTTTTTTTCACATCACTCTGTGGGAAAAAGCATTTTTTCTATGATACAATGACAATACAATTATTTTGTTATTTTACGCGAAACATGTTTATCTTTTCAATTCTATTTTCATATTTATGTTGTAACCACTTAACTCAAGACAGTTCTAAGAGACTTTTTTTCCTTTTCGTAATATGCACACTTACCAATGGAGCATCAGCCGGTCATTTGCTTTTTACTTTTTTAAATAAATACAAACTAACGTATACGTATGCAGTCTTTGTCTCCTATTCAAAGCAAAGGAGACGTGGACATAGTTACTCCTCATTGTCCTGAATTTTAAAGACAATTCCCATGGAAACGAGGAGGTGGGAGGGGGTAAAGATTTGGCGCTGCACGTTGAATTGAATTGTTATCAGCAATTTGCAAAAACATCTTTAAAAAAGTTGGATACCTCATTTTACAGCAAAGCACGTGTTGTTTCTATAACCTCAACAACAAAGCTACAAATTGGGAACAAATCAGAGCTGCTGCACTAACAGTTTAGTGGGGAAATACAGTTTTGGACACAGAATCACATGTCTTAAAACTTTTAAATACTTTTGATTCATTAGTAAAGAGGACATTTAAAAAAATGTCCTGATATGCTTTGTTTGTCTGGTTTGGCAGCTTTGGGTAAAATTTTTGTATTCAGTTTTATTTTGTGGGTTTATTTTCTACATGTATGACAACAGATGAACCTTCCCATAGCTTTTACATATCAGTACTTTTTACTCTCCCACATACACCTTAACTCAGCATAGCCTTAACAACCAGACACGAATCAACGGCGATCAAGTTGCCAGTTCTGTGGCGACTTGATTTCAACCGCAAAACTGTCTGTGTATCTTTGCAACAGAGATATTTTGTTCAGACTTATTCATACATTGTATGATTTGAGTTTTTGACAACTGGAAACATTCATATATATTGTATAATAGTTCTGATTCATATTTGCAGTTACATCAAAGTGGTGTTAGGATGATTGCCACTGAGCAGGACTCAGAACACAGCATTTTAGAACTGGTGAGATAAACGGGTTGCCATTTATCAAAAGTCTTATAGTCCAGTTACGTGTATAGTAAACTCCATCCAAATGAATACTTTTTAAGTGAAGTATTGTAAATTTGAAATTTTTGAAAACCAAGTCCTGTAACGTTTTAAGTCGATGTCTGATGGTCTGAAGTAAAGCGTAGGTGGAACATTTGTAGCCAGGTAAAATGTGTTATAATGGTGATCTTTGCAAAAGAAATGATAATAAATTATTGGGTTTTTATATAACTTTGCACTGGACTGTGTTTTTTTTTTTTTTTTCATTAAGAAAATTTAAATTTAGTTGGTGCCAAAAACTTCCAAAAACAAAAATGCTGGTGAACAACACTGAACTTTAACACACTGCTAACATAATCTTGACATAATACTAATGAATTGTCCAATTTCTGTGTGATAATTGTGCATGGAAGTGTATAAAGAAGAGAGGTAGATGTTGTTGGGAAATGGTGCAAGCAGGAAAAGTGAACTGTGACAAAAAGTACAGCAAGCCCCCCCC